AACACTTATTTAATCATAACAGAGACAACTAACTTTAATTGCTCATTAGAAACCACCACACCTAATAACCAAACCACAACCAACAGTAATTTAACAACACCCACCAACTCTCTCTCTCAAACCTACCCAACAAGCCCAATCCTACCCAACTCCGAATATTCTCTGGGAAGGGAAAACCCCTTATCCCAACTCAAAAACCTCATCAACATTACAACTCTCAATGCAAGAGGACTTACCCAGAGAGGAAAACTCTCTGAACTTACTAAATTAGTCATTAATGAAAGAAGCCTACTATGTATCACTGAAACAAAAGCAACCAGAAACAACCCCTTACCAAAACTAATTAACAACAACATAATAATTATCTCAAGCCAACCCAGTGTAGCAACATGTAGAGCTTGAATACAGATGTGTAATTGGATATTCTTATAAGTATTGTTTTTAATCTGGATATATAATTATATATACTTTTTTAAATCCGTTTATAAAATAGTTAAATCTGGATATATAACTAGATATCCTATTAATATCCAGTTTTAAATCTATATATATAATTTAAATCTGAATATATAACTAAATTTCAAATTCGAATATATAACCAAATTTTAAATCCGGATTTTTAAGTACTGTATAATAATTATTTTTGTAATTAAAGAAACTTTTTATTCTTTGGAACAAATAAGTCTTATTGAATAAATAATTATTTATATCTGTATGTTGTTGTTATGCTAAATACATCATATTCTAATCTTCCACATCTAGGGTTTGTTGCAAAAAATAATGATTTGAAAATGTGATAATAGGTGGCTCTGTTGACATTCCATTTGAACCTAATTCTATGTCTATATATAAATGGTCTTCTAAATCACAGACTAACCATTGAACTTTAGAATGCACATGGGTTTGCAGGGTGAGAGCGGGTTTATATAACTGAGATGCATTCTGGAATAAAGTGGTCACATAAGTTAGTTGTTCTGCGGGTGTAGGGTGTAGTTGTCAAAGTGAAGGAGAAATTATTTTTATTGACAATTGTATGGATATCGGACTTTTTTAATTTTATAGTTGGATAAAAATTGGTGTTATTCTGTCACCACCATTATCTACAAGTTCCTAATTATATATGGATAATGGAGATGGCATTAGCACTACTTGAACCTGATTGACCTTCTCTCCATGGCTCTCCTTCCCAAAGCCTTTTTTGAACACCCATTAATCCTATTTACATGATAAGTAAGAGACCTTTTGACTATAATATATAATCTATGATACCAACAAAATTGATTTTCTTTGCAAAAATTAGGATGCATCAATGTATTTTGTATATACATTTCACCTTAAGAAATTAATTCAGGATTGCATATATCCATCAAATGTATGGTAGCTGTTTGCAAAATGTTAATATATGATAGTACTATATGCAAAAAGAATCACACAATCTATTTTCATGTAACTTGAAAGCTTAGTAATGTTAATAGCTGCCTTTCTACATATGTTACGAGAATCTGTATCCGAGTATTAATTGAATCTATGTAAGGTCTGTGAAGAGGTATAGTTACCACATAATAAATGTGATTTGTATAAGCAGCACAAAATTGGATAGAGGAATCTGTATCACCAACGGCAGGAGAATTATATGATACCATAAATGTGGAGGTAAGACTAATGACCAAGCGTGCAATGCAGTCTCAATAGCTAGTAGAGTGATACGAAATGATCCCAGATATGAAAAGTAGGGCTTTTACTGTAAAATATTTCATTAACTTCAAATAATACATATAGTCAATAACTTCTTGTGGGTTTTCGTCATCTTTGATTGAGTATAGATATAATGTATTGTACTCGTAGACAGGTAGGGTTTCCTAATATCCAGGAGAAATAAGATGTCAAGGATTGTAAGTGTGTGATTAGGCGAATGGAAATATAGCCGAAAGAGGCACAGGCAAGGGTTTCAGCATTCATGACACTCCAAAAGACTCTCGCTCTCATCATCTTTTCAAATTCGCTAATATTCTATTTTTGAACAGTTACGATTTAAAGCCAGGTCCATGGATATTCTGACTGCCATTTCATTAATTGTCCAAATTCGACAAGAATCGTTATTCTTTTTTTTGTATAAAGATAATACTATCAGTTTTGGTTGAATTCGTCTTGGAAGACGTATGAACTTATTGATCAACAAAAAATTGAGACAATAAAATAAAGATCTGAATCAAATCATAAAAAACCTAATGCTACAATCCTTAATTCTGAATCTGCAGATCATTAAATTTTTTTTATCTACATGATTACGTATATAGCATTTAATACAAACATAAAATGGTGTAATTAATAGGCAATGATATTGTATATGCCAATCTCACGATCTAAAAATATATCGCCACCAGAATTCGGTTTAACCTCTGATCTAAGCACCTGTTTATTATCAGTATATAACTATCAGGATTACAACAAAAGAAGAGACAATGGTTTTTAAAGCTGTTTAATAAATGCAGGTATTTGTATTAATGGAGCCCTTGATACAAAGCCAAAGATTCAATATTTCTCAACTAAATGATCGACTAAATCCTTATTAGGAAATTCCTTAAGGTGCCTATATACTGTACTTCTGGAAGCGACTGTTCCAAAATCAGAAACTTCATTAGTTCCATACTTTCAGCATATTCAGTGGAGATAACATTTATCCACATAATAATTGATGGTAAAGTATATACTATTGTTTTTCAATATCAACATGTTCATTAATTCGTTAACATATATTTCTTAGAAATATTCACTGACGCATAAAGCTCATCTCAAGTCTACTGACCATACATTTGAATTCATTATTAGGACTTTTAGATTGTGGAGCATCAGCCTCTTCAAAAAATTTTATTAAAAGTTGCTCAACCTACGTATTTTATTTAAAGAAATCTATTATATTATGGTTCTATAAGCAAAAGTATTCATTTTTTTTAAAAAAAAAATGGTTAAGAGTACCTTACTTATCTGGCATTAATGGTTTAACACAATAACGTTTACTACCTAAGTGACTATAGTAATACTCCCTATCAATGGATTTATAATTACTGCAGATATGATAATTCCATCACATTTGACAAGCCTCTTCCGACAACAATTACACATGAAGATGAATTTTCGATTTTCATGAAGCATATGACAATGTTTAAAAAAAAAATCCATGAATATAATCTGAAAATGTGTACATGATATTCACTAATAGTGACTTTTATTAGTAGGTTTTATTTTTCGCATTTAAAATCTTCGAATATTTTATTATGATATATGATTTTTTTTACTTAATTTTTCTATTTGAATACATGTGTTATTTAAAATTTTGATATTTTGTTTAAGAAAAATCATTCTTTCAAATAAATTTGAATTAATTGATGTACATTTACTAGACATTAAATTACCAGCATTTGAAAATAAACATTCACTAGGTATAGATGTAGCTGGAATAGTCAAATATTTGCGTGCTAAATCAGAAAGAATCAGAAATTCTTCTTGAATATCTTTTCACCAATTAAAAGGATTAATTTTAATTGATACTTGATTAATTTTAAGATATTGGTCTACTTCATTTTTAATTGTTGTAGTTATATCGGATTCAAACATTATTGAAAAAAGTTTTATTTGATTTTCATCTTGTTTTTTGTTTAATGATTCCATAATTTCTTTGTTTTCAGCAGAAAGTAAATTATATTCTTCTTTTAAAAGACTAATTGCCTTATCATATTCCCAATTATTTAATTTTTTCATTGATTTACATCGTGGATCCAATATCATTGCAATTAATGAACTATCAATTGGTGTTTTCCAGTAGTAATTTAATGCTGCAGATAAATTTTTTTTAACATTTTCTACCAAATTATTAATACTTTGTGATTGATCGAAATTTGATTCTTTATTTGATTTCATTATATTTTCTTTATCGTTTGATTCTAATATATCTTCTTCTTCTTCAGATATAAATTATATATCCATTAGATCAAGTTTTTTATTTGATATGCAATTTCTAGTAAGAGTAACAATAGCTGGCCACATAAAATTAAATGTTGAATAATTGCTGCCTTTTAATAATTCTTAATTTCAGCAAATGGAGTTAAAAGTATGATCAAATCTTCCAAAATCTTCCATTCTTTATCAGTAAGCATTATAGATGTTAATCAATTTGCATCTTTACGAATATTATAATCCAAGTCTGTATTCATAGTCATATTCATTAATTTTATTGCATCTTTAAGTTGAAGAAGTCTTTTCCATGTAATATATGAAGAGTTCCAGCATGTTGAAGTATCTGAAATTGCTCGAAAATAAAATTCTCTATTATTATTAATTTTTTCTTTAGAAATTTTAAATATTTCTTGTGCTTTTTCTAATTGCTCATTTTGTTTAGGGGTTGTTAAAAAACCAATTAATTGTTTTGCACGATTTGCTAAAACTTTTGCTGATTTTAATCCTTTTCCAATAGCAAGTTGAAGTGTATGTGCTGTACAAGGAATTCGTTCTATTTGATCCATTGAATTTATTGCTTTAATCATATTAGCTGCATTATCAGTTGTAATTGAAATTACTTTTTTTGATAGATTCCAATAATTAATAATGCTTTCTAATTCCATTTGAATAGTTATTGCATTATGAGGATATGGAATATATTTAATTGCAAGAATAATTTCTTTTAATTCATAGTTTAAATCAACAAAATGACATGTAACTTCCATATATCCACTTTTGGAACGTGCGGTCCATAAATCACATGTTAAACTACATGTTTTAAGATTTGTTGCAAAATAATCTTGAAGATATTCAACTGAGTAGTTATAACGTTGATGTATTTGTGCCTTTAATTGCTTATTAGATGGAAACTTATAATATAAATTTAACATATTAATAAAATTAATAAAATCTTTATTTTTCAAAATATAAAGAGGTTGTGAATTTGTAATAATCCATTTAATTAAAGCTTGATCAATAAATTCCTTTTGTTGTCCAGTAATAAATTAAAGACTTTGACTAGTTGATAATTGCATACTTGTATCATTAACTTGAATCGGTTTGGTAATTCCATGAGTATTTAAATGTGCTTGAAAATTGCCAGTTGAACCTTGAGTTTGAATTAGCTGTCCACATTCTTGTTGTCCATTTGATAATTTTTTATTTTTAATAAGTACAGCACATTTTTTCCATTTTTGTGATGGTAGTCTTTTACGAAAATATTGCCAAACCCAACTAGAATTTTTTCGTATCTTTTGAATAGAATTTGTATAAATAGATTCTACATTACTATCATCTTCACTTAATGTTTTATCACTAAAAGTTTCGATAGTGTCTTCAGAATCAGAATTTTCAGAATTTTGTACCTTTGTTCATTTGTTTTTACATTTTGGCATCTTGTAAATAATAAAGAAAAAATTTTACGTAATTAAAAAACCTTACTTATTGTCAAGATATTTACTATTAAGATTATAATTAATTTAACTATAATTACGAATAGATTCTTTTTTGACTTATAATTTAACTACTGTAGTATAAAGTAATTTCAATATCAAATTGATTTTTTTTTCGTATTCCGAATTGAATAGTTTAAAATATTAAATAAATGTTCATAGTAACAAAAATAAAATCTCAGATAGTAACACCATAATATAGTAGTTATTTCTGGCTAAAAAAAATATCGTTGATAATATTTTAATATGGAATTTAAATATAAAATCTGGTATTGTTCCTATGTTAAAAACAAAGCTTGGATCTGAATATATAATCGGATATCTTTATAAGTATTGTTTTAAATTCAGATTTATGATATTTATCCAGGTATATGATTAAATATACTGTTTTGATCTGTTTATAAACTAGTATAACTAGATGTCTTATTAAATATTTGGTTTTATATAATTTTAATTTAAATACATAAATAAATTTTTAAATAGAATATATAAAATTATTATATAAAATTATCATTTTTATATTTTAATTTAAATAAAACTTTTATAAAATAAACTTAGAACTTATTTAAATTGTAAATGAATTAAATTAACTTTATAAATCTAAATTAATTAAGATATCAAATCGTTTTTAATTTTTATAAATAAATTAATAATATAAAAATTTGTATTTGAATTTGAATTTTAGATAATTAAATAATACAATTTTTAATAATGAAATTATTCATTATTTTTAATTAAAATTTTTTATAAATTTTTTAAAATCAGATTTCAAAGAAATTTTTTATTTTTTGGGACAGAGGAGTCTTATTGAATAAAGAATTATTTATATTCGTATGTTGTTGTGCTAGATACACTGTATCCCTATCTTCCACATCTGGGGTTTGTTGCAGAAAATAATAATTTGAAAATAGGACAATAGGTGACTCTGCTAACATTCCATTTGAACCTAATGCTACGTCTATATATAAATGGTCTTCTAAATTACCGACTAGCCGTTGAACTTTAGAATGCACATGGGTTTGCAGGGTGAGAGCAGGCTTATATAGCTGATATGCATTTTATATAAAGTGGTCACGTAAGTTGGCTGTTCCGCGGGCGTAGGGTAAGTGAAGGGAAATCACATTTGTTAACGATTGTATAGTTATCTGAGTGTGAAAATTGGAGACTTTTTTAATTTTATAGTTGGATAAGAAATTGGCGCCATTCTATTTCCACCATTATCCACAGGTTCCTGATGGTGTATGGACAATGGAGATGGTGTCAGCATCATTTAAACTTAACTAACCTCCCCTCCATAGCTTCCCTTTCCAAAGCATTTTTTGGAATGCCCATTAATCCTATTTACATGATAAGCAAGAGGGCTTTTTGACTATACCATTTTCGTTCACTTTTTTGAGTTGTACTTCAAACAAAGTTCTTACAATCTACAACATCAACAAAATTTCTTTTCTTTGCAAAAATTCGGATGCTTGAATGCATTTCTGCATGTACATTTTACCTCGAGAA